TCTTAAGAGCACTTTGCAAATACGTAGCTCGGTCACTAAGGTGAATTAGAAACGGGAAACTTAAGCCAAAGAATTCAAGACACTCTGAATATACTGACAGAAAGGATTCCTCTGTGAATGATAATAACTAATTTTTGGTCGGGTAAAGTAAAGGTTATGGCTGATAAGATAATGGCCTGTCATCAGCATGAGGAAATATTTCGCTCTCAGGTGACTCAAAATAGGAAAATGGCCTTTAAGTTCATTTAAGACTCTATTAAGGCGCCTTTACAAATCAAAAATAAATATTCCAAAACTATCGAGCTCAAATTTCTCCATTCTTCTCTATCTAGACTAATTCAATCCCAAAATAAAACCAGTAGTTTTAAAAAAAGAGTTGATTTTTGGATGGTTTCGACGCTTAAATTTTAACAAATATTTGCTGCTATAATTTGTTTGTTAATCACTGATATTCGAATGCCCGTGCATGACTTTCGATCACTAGTTGCATTTCACACCTCATATAGCAATTGCAAACTAGCTTTCTTTGCAAACTTTTCAACACAGGGAAGGCAGCACCTAAATCTGGGAAAAAAAATCTGTTTACTTTCCATTCTCCAAAAGAACCTTTTCAGAATTCTGATACCGCAGAAAAAGATAAAATAAACGAACAATGTTATAAGGTTGGTATTCCTGTGAGACATTTAGGTCGGACTATACTGACAAGCTTGTTGCGTATGAAATCATCAATTAGCCACGTGCGAGCGCTTCTAACCATATATATACCATCCCCCACTTGCATTAGGATCACATGGTTCACTCTTATCATAAAATGTCCTTTTGGCTCCAGTTTAAAACGAGCAACGATCGTTAATGGTCACGTTATATAGAAGAACGTTTCACCAAACTTCTTTCCAGAAGCAGTTCCCGTTATTTACAGTTACGACACTGGCTAAGTCAGCTGAGTTCGGCTTAACTTCTTAGTGATCAAATGAATTCCGAACTGACAAAGAAAATCTCAAAACCCACCACAACAAAAGACAAAGAATGCTTGAAGTATGAATGCTTTCTGTGATAGCATTTGGCGGAATCTGTGCATCTTCTACTGAGATTTGTGGTACTCCTTTCAACGCTAGGAATAAGTCGATTGTAAGCTTCAAATGGCGTGAAACAGTTATTCATGAAAAAAAACCTTTGGACTTAGAGATGTGAGGGTTTTTTCCCTAATCTAAGTCTTTCACTTTCGACTGCGGGATTTTTAACTATTCCGTGACACTCTAGTCGACTATGAGTAACTTTATTTCCTTCAGTGTCAGCTGACCTCAGAAAATTGCGGCCACACTCAGTTAAAATCAATAGCTAGAATACATTTGGACCTTGGGTAAGAGGGCCATGGATTCTGTCATTCTTTGTTCGCCGAATAGGGGCTTTTTTTCGTAAATTGGGACCACTGATTTTGTTTCATAATAATTTCATTGTCTCGAAGATGCCCCATCCTCAGTAAAGATCTTAGCACGGGCTAAAATGTTTACTCTAAAAGCGAAATTGAACGTTTCTTAATTAAAGCTTTCATTGCAGCCTTTTCTGCCTCTCTTTCAGTTTCATTAGTCAAAATACTTATGCTTTGTTGTTCGAATAAACTAATACCGAGACAAAATGAATGTTTTCAAAAGCGCTTGGATTGCAGGCTTTCGGTGTCTCTTGCTTTTACGAGTCATAATAAACATGCTTTGTTGTTTGAATAAACTATCATTGCTTGATAATAGCCATAACTATTTGGAAGTAATAAGCCCCACTTAACTTGTTTGCCAACATTACTTCTGCGCAGAACAGAATTCTTCCCTTCTAATTGAAGGGATTTTCCGCAGGAAATTGTTTACCGCCGAAAACAGAACCATATCAAATCACGATGTATTTTGGTGGCAATATTGCATCAGCCCTAGAATATTATCACGTAGTTATTTCACGATCATACTGTGGTGAACAGAGCGAAACGACCCTTGGTTGTATGTAGTGTATTGCGTTACATACCGTTAATACTGTAAGGAAACTTCCTATTACTCATTCGTGTCGTAAATCTACTTCCCTAAGTAAAAGCAAAATAACTAATGATTGCAATGGGTAAAATGTTTACTCTAAAAGCGAAATTGAACGTCTCTCAATTAAAGCTCTCATTGCAGCCTTTTTTGCTTCTCTTTCAGTTTCATTAGTCACAATACAATATGCTTTGTTGTTCGAATAAACCAATATTGAGAGACGATAAATTTTTTCAAATAG